GTTGTTAAGTATATGATCTTTTGAGTTACGGGTAAATGAAAAAAAATAGGGAAGTGAGTTCTCTGTATCCACATAATCTAATTGTAGGCATAAGGATTTGTTATCTGATCCAATACATGCATTAAAATCTCCCAATAGAATAAAATGAGCCGAAGGGCATTTTTTATGTAGAAAAGTAAGAAAATGAGAACGTTTTTGCCATCTTATTGAGGAAACTGTATTAATAGAATGTGACATATAGATATTTCATGTAATGATATCAATAGCTAGCCCCTTAAGGAAGAAAGCTTGAGCAAAAGGTGGAAGCTTATCTACTAATTTTACTGCTAAATTTGATTTAAATAGTGCTGTGAGGCCAGCCATATTTGGCCCTTTGAGTGTATTTTATAGGCAGGAATATTAAAAGAGGTATAATTAGCAATGTTCAAATTAGTTAGTGACTATGTTTCTTGAAGAAGAATACAGTCAAAACTTTTTCAATAGTCCCTCAGGAACTTGCGCACCTGCAGCATAAAAAAGGCTAGCTTTTCCGCCATCCCATAAAATGTAGCCTCGAGGACCTCCCTCGGCTGATCCAGGCCAGGGGACGGCGGCATCGGGGCTGCAGGTGGGCCTGAGGCTGGTGTGTCCACATCATGTGCGTCTCCCATCGAAGTTCCTCCATCTCTCCCCAAAGCTCCAACTGGGCAAATTCGCTCTCCTCCACGATCCGCATCCACTCAGGGTTGTCATGGAAAGATTGGGAGGCATGCCGCCAGTCCATCTTCATCCAAAATCACCCCTGCTGGGTTCCTGGAGTCAGTACTCAGGTGGGCACGGCCCAGCTGGGGAGGAGAACGAATGAGCCTTTAGGTTTAGCTCCCAGGTCTAGGCCTGTCCCCTCGCATGTTGGAATGGTGTTTTCGGTGATCCGGGGTTCAGGTGCTGACCCGCCTCCGGTCGCGATGTCCCCGTTGCCCTCGCTCATCATGCCCAACCTAGCCCTGCTGAATGCAGCAGATTTCCTAGCCCAATGCAGCCTGCCCTATATGACAAATTATAACATAGCCCAATGTGGCCTGCCCAATGTGGCCATCCCAGGACTGGTGAGCAAATCCACGTGGATGCAAACTTCCCACCAGGGATGATTTAACATATGTTGAGATGAACAGAGGAGGACGTGATGGCCATTATTACACTGCAGATAGGGAGCACCTCTATGGGGTCCCGGGGCAATGTTCCCCTTTTAACTGGAGGCTCTGACCAGGAGACCCACACCAAGAAAGTGAAAGAATAGAAAGAACAGTACAAACATGAGCTAAAACAAAGGGCTGCAAGGGGCCAAACTTGAGCCCAGCAGCTCAGGCTATTCCTGCAAGGCCCTTCTCGTTTTCAGTCTCCCGTTGCCCACCCTGTTTGGGAAGATGGATTCTGTGCTGGCTATGGCCCCCTTTCCCATCTGGGGCTACATTAAAGGTGTCCGCTCACCCATCCTGCTGAGGCATGGTTTCTGGGTGTTGCCTTGCCACTCTTTCCCAGGCCTACATTTCGGACCTGGACCTGGCATCCATCAGTCTCTGTTTGGCAGAAGGGCTGCTCTGCTGCTCACTTGACCACCCTGTTGCAGAGATGGATTCTGGGTGTCACCAGCTGCTCTATCCCAGGGCTACGTTTAGGAGGACTTGGCGCATCCCCTTTCAGCTCAAGGGTTACCCTAACACTCGCCCACCCACTGGATAGATGGATTCTGGGTGTTGACACTTGCCAGCCGCACTTTCCTGGATTGTGGCTGTGGCCGCTCCCCCCCTCCCCCCACAGTGAAGCCCAGGTTCTCAGCAGGTGCCAGCTCCCTCTTCTGAGGAACTGCACCCCCCTGTTGGTATATTTTAACACCCTTCGTCATGAGCTGTCCTGTGGTCTCGAGGGGGCTACCTGGGACAAGGCTAGAGACGTGATCCTTGTTGGACACCTACCAGCACCTGGCTGCCCACTCCTGCTTGGGCAGCTTCTCGTCTTTCCCACCCAAGAACATTTCTGTCCCCCCAAGACCCAAGAACATTTCTGTTCCCCCAAGCCTCAGCGCTTTCAGCCCCCCACCCCCACATACACCTCCTCACCATGTCTTTCCCCTCAAGAATCAGTGCATCCAGCCTCCCAATGTCCATGAACGTCCCCAACCTGCCTCCCTCATTGAGGACATTGTTGCTGCAGATGAGCATTCCATCTCGAGTGAGGCTACCATTTGGGAGACTTTATGCTTGATGGCCGTTCTGCCACTTCTACACTCCCTCACCATGTCTTCCCCCCCCCACCCCCAGGAATTGCTCACCCCATATGGGAGATGAATTCTATTCTCACCTTAGAAGGCCTTCCCCTCACCCACCCTATTGAGGAGATGGATTCTGGCTGTGGCCGCTGTCATCCGGAACTAGCCCAATGTGGCCTCCCCCATGTGGCAAATTTTAACCCAGCTCAATGTGGCCTGCCCAATTTGGCAAATTTTAACGTAGCCCAATGTGGTCCACCCATGTGGCTAATTTCAACCAAGCCCAAGCTTCCCCTCACTCATACCATTGGGGAGATGGACCCCTCACATTAGAGTGTCGCTGTGCCACACTTCCCCTCATTGGTATGCAAACACCTGGTCACAAACTGTGTCCTTCCAAGAATCATCACTCCAAGCTTCCCCTGGCCCGTGTCTACCTCCTCATGATTTCTGTCCCCCATCTAACTCAGAATGCAACACCTACCTCATGAACCCAGGTCTACCTCTTAGCACAACACCTACCTCAAAGAGCAACGCCAACCTCATAACACAACACCTACCTTGTGGATATGGAGTGCAGGGGAAAAATGGCTTTTTTTCATATTCACGTATAATGAAGCTGATTTCTGTGTGTGTTCCTGAATATACCAGAAAACCAATACCAGTAATGTATTAGTATCCTGAGCCATTGCAGTCAATGGCAAAATCTTCTAAGGCATTTTCAGTGGGCTGGGGGGAGGGGTTTGAGTTAGAGGCACCAAATTTGTATTGTAGCTGCTGGAGCTTCTCCCCAAAATAATCCCCAAGTTTGGAAAAGATTGTACCTGGGAGTCCAATTCTAGGGGCATTCAAAGAGGGTGCCCCAATTCTCTATTTTTTCCAATGGTGGGGAAGAAGGCAGGCAGTTTCTCCCAGAGAATATCTGCAGTAGAAACTAAGTGAGGTGTGGTGCAAACCTCTACCTCATCAACTATCCACCCATACAAGCAAGCTTGTTTGACTGCACCCAAGGAGGTGCAGGCAGGTGACTGCATCCTGTAGACTAGGACAAGGGTTGGCTACCCCCAGAATCCATGTCACCAAGGGGAGGTGGGTGCATGACCACTTCCCAGGCACAAGGAGACAGATTGGCCATCTGCAGCAACAGTATCTATGATGATGAGGCAGGCTGCACTTGGCCCCCACCCGAAGACCCTGTCACCAGGGGCAGGTGGATGGTTCACCACCTCCTTGGCTTCTGGGGAATGGCTGGCCACCCCTGGAATCCATCTCAAAAATGCTGTGATGGGTGGGTGACCATTTCCCAGGCCCAAGGGGGAGTATGGCAGGCCACCCCACCCCAAGACCCTGTCACCAGGGGGAGGTGGGTGGGTGATCACCTCCAGGGCCCACAAAGAAGGGCTAGCCACTCCCAGAATCCATCTCAACAATACAGTGGCAGGTGAGTGACTGCCTCCCAAGCCCAAGGAGAAGGGTTAGCCAGTGGTCACCCCCAGAATCCATGTCAACAACCAGGTGACCGCCTCCCAAGCACAAAGGGGAGTGTGGCAGGCCACTCCCCAAAACCCTGTCACCAAGGCTGTGATTTCCCCAGAGAGCACTTTCCCGGGGGCACTACACCTGCCATAATTTTCCACCCCCGTCCTGTGCTAGACGTCCCCCCCTTCTGCACTTTGGACCCTAAGATCCTTGACTTCTGCACCTATTGGCACCCACCCTCTAGGCTTGCCATTATAAGCAACCCTTGCTGTACCTGCCCATTGACTTGGATTTCCAATTTTCCACCCCCCTCCTGTGCTAGATCTCCTCCCCTTTTTAGAGGGGTATCCTGGGGAGGTCCATTGCAAGTTGCATGCCTCTATATTTCAGGGGAGTATTTGACACACTCCCCCCTTTGAACATTGGACCCTACAATCCTCCCCCCCAAACCAATCTGCACACAATTTGAAAGGCAGGTTGAGGAGCATCCTGGGGAGGTTCCCTGTGAGTTGGATGCCTCCAGCTTGCAAGGGGACCATTTGACACATTCTGAGCCTGTGTCTATGATTTTACTGTGGTTTGTAGAGGACAGAAACTGTTTTTCTTGTACTCATTACTCAAGATGTCAAGAGATTTGCTGTGTTTAGGACTTACTATGGTTTTAGTAAAAATGCTTCAGGGAGTGAATTCGGAGTAGGGATTTATGCAGACATAATGTTTAACCTTATATTTTTCTTAATCTGGTTAAAACTTGGTTACAGATTTAAAACTTGGTTACAGATTAGCCACAAATAAGAATGTGATGCATGGTTTGAACTTAGTTTGCATGCCAAGGTGAAGTAATGTAGTTTCAGGCAAGTCATGCACATGCCTCCTTATACAAACACTCTGGGGTTCAGCTTGGCAGGTTAAATGACAGGATCCCGATAAACTTGAGCAACTGTGTTTGTAGAAGGTTAAATCAAAGCTGGTGCCTTTGTTGTGCTCTTTCTCAACGCATTTTTTAAAAAATTCGTTCCCAGCTGTATCTGAGGCTGTTTCTGGTAGCGGCATTTAATGGTGATTGGTTAGTAAATGCAAGGTTTTTAGATGTTGCAAGGGAAGACTGGTTTATCTGGATTGCATTATGAAATCCACGTAACCATTAATAAGTTTGAAAGTCTCTAGAGTAGTTACTTATGTCAAGAAAACAAAGTCTTTGACAATTGACTGGTTTCTATGAGAATTTTGGCCTTCTTCACTTTGTAACTTTTGACCCCTTATTTCCAACCTGCAGGCATACCAACGTTTACAAATCCAGCAGCAGATGTTACAGGCTCAGCGTAATGTTTCCGGACCCATCAGACAACAGGAGCAGCAAGTAGGTTTTATCTTTTGACTCAGTTCTCTGGGGGATCTAGTTTGGTACATAGAGTAAATTTGTTCTGTTGTGTGATTTATAATTAAAAAATAGGAGTAACAAGCTTCAGGTTCACATCTTTATTGTTTGTTGTCTGGGTTATGATAACAATAGTCTGAGTCTGTTCTGTCTCTTGTTTGTAGACTTATTTTTATTTTTGCTTGTTGCCAGGTTGCACGTACAATCAATAACATGCAGCAGCAGATCCAGCAGCACCAGCGACAGCTGGCTCAGGCCCTGCTTATGAAGCAGCAGCCACCCCCTCCACATCTATCTTTGCACCCCTCTGCAGGCAAATCAACCATGGATAACTTTTCACCCCATCCCCAGGCTCCTGGCCTATCTGACCTGCAGACCAAAGAGCAACAGTCTTCACCGAACACCTTTGCTCCTTACCCCCTTGGTATGTTTTTTTGGTCAAAAAGATGCAAATAATTGTGCATGTAACGATTGTACCCCTTGACCAGAATCTTAGCAATTGTTATTGCTTCTGAACCAGTTATGAACCAAATATTGAATTATTGCTTCTGTTTGTACTGTATTTCATAATTATGGCAGCTGATGTCACAAAACTAAAATCAGTAAGCATTCCCCATACTTGGAACAAGTAAAGTCAGTTTCTCACCTTTAAAAAAAAAAAAGGTTGCAAGAAAACAATGACAATGCAAGTAAAACTATTATTAGAATCTCAATGTATTCATTTATGTCCAAGAAAAAAGCAATAATAGATGTCTTTGCAAACTGAGGGGGAATTCCAAAGTTCTATTAAAAAGTTCAAGTTGGTAGTGTGGAGGGTTAAATAAAACACAAAACTTTTAGAAATCATAAATCTTATAAGATTAATATTGATACTTCTAAACTGTTTTGTGTTTCATTTCATCCCATTAGGAGGTGGGGGTAGGGGGAAGGACAGGAAGAGGGGAGGATTGAGGGACTGTAGGGGGAGGGAAGGGAAAAGGAGAACCAGGAGAGAAAAGTGGCAACTGGTAAGAGGGACAGAGAAGAAGAGAGTAGAACCAAAGGTGAGTGAGACAGCTAGCAAGGGAGGAGGAAGAGTGGTAGCCAGAGCGACCTGAGAGGAAACAGGCGGAAAGGAAGAGAGGTGAAGACAGCTGGGAGGAATATATGATTTCCCCTCCAGTTCTCACAGCTAACCTGCTTGTTTCATCCATTGAAATTCAATATACTGAAAATGACAACAGGAACAGAAGGTGGTTGATTATGAAAAAAATGAGCTGAATGATTATGGATACTTGCAGTGCATTTGTAGCACCTGCACCTGTGCTTCACACCCACCCTGGTGATTGCTGATTTCCCGTGGATTTTGTCTAGTCCCTATAATACCAGAGTCCATGTCCCCTACTGGCACTTATTAACTGTAGGTTTAAAAATGCCAAAAGGAAATGACTTCCTCCCAAACTGTGTAATTAACTTATGGAAGGTGTGGTGATATATGTTTTGTGGCTTTGGAACATTTGATTTTCACCTGACTTCCTTCTCTGCTCTTACCTAGAGTTACCACAAATTGTTGTTTTATCTGTAAGAAGGGTTAGCTTGTAAGAACTGAGAACTGGAGTGTAATTAAATAATAGAGATAGGAATAAAGAGTGTATAACAACCTGTCCATTTTATCTTAGCTGGACTGAATCCAAACATGAATGTAAACAGCATGGACATTCCTGGTAGTTTGTCAGTGAAGGACACTTCTCAGTCCCAATCGCGCCTTCCTCAGTGGACACACCCCAACTCAATGGATAATCTCTCCAATGCGGCTTCTCCACTTGACCAGAATCCTAGCAAGCACGGTATGTGTAGTGCACTAAGCATAAAATGTATAATAGCAAAATGTCTCCTTGTTCAGGTACGGATTTTCAGTGGCCATGGCAAAATGCTTTTCCTGAATATAAATTATTCCGTGCAACATGCTCAAATTCATATGTGAAATGCATGCATATGGTACTCCTGTAGCTTTTAGGCAACTTGTGGCATTTAAGGTAAATTAAATTAAGGATGCATTTTGTGTTTGTAAAATAATTACAATGCAAGAAGATACGATTTTGCTGGGTAAATATAATTTAATATAATCTGTTCAAAATATATGCATAGATACTTCAAAAGAATGTCATTGGCCCTGGATATTAAATTTCAAGTTGTATGCTTGCTTTTAAAAAAACTTTTAACCCTCATAGTTTTTTTTCTGATCCACTTGGTAGCAATAGATGCTAAGGAATGGGGTACAAGAAGGCAAGAGGGTGCAGTCCTGAAGCACCTTAGCTTTAGGTGGCTTAAAAAGAAATAACAGAGGCACTGTATTTTTGTCATGATTTCATAGTTCTTAGGAATATATTGAGAGGATAAAACAAGTTACTGTTTCTTCATATAAGAAACAAGTCCAAAATGAATAAATCACTGAGAAAATGCAAAGTCTCTACAAAGTGTTCTTTGCATCCGTCATATTAATGCAAATGACATGCAGATTAAACCAAATACATGTAAAGCTAAACTGAAATTCATGGTGGCCCTCAGGGCTATAATATATTTCAACCAAATGCTGCAAAAACATATTTTTTATTTTTTTTATTTCCGTTGATTTTTATCTCGCCCTTTTTTTAGCCTTTTGGTCTAATTCCCAAATCATGATTCTTAAATTCACAATTACAGTCTGTAAAAATATTTACACTTTCTATCTGCATTAATTCGTTTCTTTAATAATCTACTGCTTGCATTCACATAGTACTATTTTGTTTGTTGTTATTCAGTCAAAATACCTGAGTAGTGCCTATTCCATTTTTTATTAGAATTTTCTTCTTCGTTATAGTCATGTTGCACTCCCACCAGCATGGTGATTCTGAACCAACCTAGAAGCAACTGCACAAAGCTCTAGAGCTTTAGGCTTAAACTTGATGCAAACTACAAAATGTTTTATTCTGCTTAATATCAGTAATGTTTTATGTAAATATACTGAACTATCAGTGCCATCCTAGAGTTATGCCCTTCTAAGTTCACAGAATCATAGAGTTGGAAGGGATCTCCAAGGTCATCTAGTCCAACCCCCTACACAATGCAGGAAATTCACAAATATCTCCCCCTCCACACCAACAGTGACTGCTGTTCCACACCCAGAGGATGACAAAATACGTCCAAGATTGCTTCCTGACCCCAAAGTGGCAATCAACATTTCCTTGGGTGTGTAAAAAAGGGCCACATGAATTAAGCACTGAGGCAGCCCATCTTGCCCTCTCTCTCATGATCTGTCTAAGTTCACAGAATCCATATTGCTGTCAGATGGCCATCTGGCCTCTGTTTGAAAACCTCCAAAGAAGGAGAGCCTACCACTTCCCAAGGAAGCCTGTTCCACTGAGGAACCGCTCTAACTGTCAGGAAATTCTTCCTAATGTTTAGCCGAAAACTCTTTTGATTTAATTTCAAGCCATTGGATCTGGTCTGATCTTCTGAGGCAAAAAGAAAACTACCCCACACCATCTTCTAGATGACAGCCCTTCAGGTACTTGAAGATGGTTGTCATATCACCTCTCAGTCGTCTCCTATCCAGGCTAAATGGTGACTGGAAAAAAGCCCACAGAAAAAACACCAGGGTCATAAATGCTCACAAGAAATAAGCCCACATGGGAAAAAGGCCATACACCAAGAAGCCCGCACAGAAAAAAGCCCACATGGAAAGAAGCCCACATGGATAAATACCATGTAAAACACGGTAGATATTTATAATTGTGGATAACCATTCATCTCCATTGATGAGAATGAACAGGTATTATCTATATTTTATATTGTTATTTTAGGATTAAAACATGTCATATTCCCATGCAACAAATTGTGTTGTGATTTTATCAAGTATAAATATAATAATTCCCTTATGTATTGGCCATTTCCAGCTCTCCCATTGGCTGTGCAGTGCGCTTCATCAGCCATTGGCCCATCAACCGCCACTCAAGAGTAATCCCATGCCATTGGCTGGGGGCTGGGTCCACTCCTCTTCCCCACCCACTGCCACCTCAGCCACTGTTCCCTGTCAGAATAACTGCCAAACGGCTGTCTCTCCTGATGAACACACTTCTCTTGCTTAGTTCCTCTGTGGAACTAACTTTTCCCTCAGTGGCTGTTGCTAGGCAACCAAGCTTGGTTCTGTTAGAAGAAGAAGAAGAGATTGGATTTATACCCCGCCCTTCACTACCCAAAGGTGTCTCAGAGCGGCTTACAAACTCCTTTCGCTTCCCCTCCTCACAATAGACACCCTGTGAGGTAGGTGGGGCTGAGAGAGCTCTTGACAGAAACTGCTCTTTTTCGAGAACAGCTCTTATCAGAACTACAGCTTGCCCAAGGTCATCCAGCAGGTGCAAGTGGAGGAGTGGGGAATCAAACCCAGTTCTCCCAGATTAGAGTCTGCACACTTAACCACTACACCAAACTGGCTCTCAGTAAAAAGACAAAGGAATGAAGCCCTTTCCAGGCCTTTGTGGGGAACTCATTGGGGCCAGTCCTGACTAGGGTTGCCAGCTCGAGGTTGGGAACTTTGAGGAGGGGTGTGACCTCAGACAGGTACAATGCCATAGACTCCACCCTCCAAACCAGCTATTCCCTCCTGGAGAACCATTGTTTCCAATATCCAGGTCAGGGCTGGAGATCACTCAGAATTACAGCTGCTCTCCAGGAGGGAGGGGGGAGGAGATGGAAATCTGAAATCAGAGGGGCAGGTTGATGGTTGGCTGGGAGGGAGATAGAGTTGCTCGTTGTAAAATTCCTGGAGATTTGAGGGGTGGAGCATGGAGAGGGTGGGGTTTGAGGAGAGGTGCAACTTCAGACAGGTACAGTGCCATAGACTCCACCCTCCAAACCAGCCATTCCCTTTTGGGGAACCATTGTTGCCAATCTCCAGGGGAGGGCTGGAGGTCACTCAAAATTACAAGTGCTCTTCAGGTAGCAGAGAACTGTTCCTCTGGAGAAAATGGTGGACTATGTGTCATTATACCCTACTGAGATTGCCACAGCAAATTGACTCTCAGTTCCCAAGACCGGGGCACTCTCACAGAGCCTCTCTCTAGAGCTCATTGTATTTAGTTCCACAACGAGTCTTATTCCTAGTTAAATAATAATTTTGGTATGTTATTATTAAAGTACTTCATTACTACAAAAAAGTGGCTTGTATGAAGAGGGCTTTAGTGCTCTTGAATTTAAAGTCTTGGGAGGGAAAATACAGCTCATAAAAGTGACTATTTTGTTATGAACAAACTTTATTAAGAAGGAAAAGAATTAGGACTTCCGGTTTATGGAACAGCGATGGTGGACACTCTCCTCGAACTGTGGGAGAGCGATCCACACACCAGCGCCTTGGAGGGGTGCCACCTCAAGTGACACCCCCATGGATCCTTTGTGATAGGCTCCAGGCCAGGGGGCTTTTAAGGGGTAGCCTCTTCGATGGCATAATGCCAGTGAATTGAGGCTCCCCTCTGCCCTGACAGTCCAGACGCTGTGTGGCCTTCGGGCACTAGCTGGTTTGACCGGGACAAGCACCAGAGATCGAGCAGAATGGCGTTCTAAGTGAGCAAGGTCAGAGAAACTGACCGACAATGAACATGAGTTCAGAATAAACCGGATTATCGTAAAAGCGGAGACTTACTTGATTATCGTCATCGTGGGGCGATTTTTCAAGCTGGGAAGAAGCGTTAGAAATTGTCAACAAATCAGAGAAAATGGCGGCCCAGCAAAGAAAGCTGAAAATGAAACCACCGGGCAGCCAGAACCCAAAACCGGAAGAGGGAGCAGATGTCATTAAAATGTTAGCAGATATGCTCAAGCCAGTGATGGAGCAACTCGATGGTATTAACCAGCAATTGACCATGATGAATAAGAATTTTGCATCTCAGCAGCTCCAGCTGAAAGAAACGGAGAAGAAAGTGGAGCAGGCAACTGAGAAAATTAAAGAGATAGACACCACAAGTAAGAAATTGAAGAAAAGAATGGGAGAAGTTGAAACAAAGCAAAACTTCCAAGAAAGCCGTTTGCTGCAACTACAGATAGAAAAAGCCAACATGATTCTCAAGTTCCAGGGAGTTCCTGAAGCAGAGAAGGAGGACCTGAGGAGGTTGCTTAGCGAGATCATCGCTCCAGCAATACCCTTAACAGCGGATGAGTTGGTAAAAGAAATGGAGATGGCCTACAGGGTATACTCCAATTATATATATTTTTTTTAAAAAAAACAGCCTGCCTGGAGAAATTGTGGTCAGATTCTCAAGAAGACAGACCAGAGATGCTATCTTAAAAGCGACATCAACAACTCCACTGAAAATGGGGAATATAACCATCAAAACCTTAAAAGACATTCCATTTGAAATCTGACAAAAGAGGAAAAATTATAAAGATTTAATTTCTTTCCTTCAAACTAATGGAATTTCGTATCGGTGGGCGATTCTGGAGGGTGTCATCTTTAAGATCAACGATAAAAGAGAGAAGATAAACTCCACTTTCATAGCTAAAGAGTTTTTGCGGCCTCAGTTGGCAACGGAGGAAGAGTCCAAGGAGGAGGAAACGATATCTAGTGACTCTGCCACCTCTGGAACGGAAGAGGACTCTGCTGCAGAAATGGGAGCAGGTGCTGCCAGAGTTGTATATGACTTTAGAGACAGGCAGAAGGACTTGGAAAATAGCCTTTTGAAGCAAAGAACAAGAAGATGATCAGAAAGTTCTCATAACAACTAACATATTAACACATAAACATTGAAGCTGAAACAAGAACTCTACAAGTATATTGTGATACTAACACTTATGGTATTAACACTTACACTAACAG